GCTGGGCCGCCGGGGGCAGCGGCCGGCGAAGCGCCGGTGAGTGGGGGGGGGGGGGGGGGTGGAGGGGTGTAGGGGCTGAGCCGGGTCCCTGTCGCTCCCCGTGTGCGTGGGAGGTCAGGCGCGGTGTGCGGGGGTGCTGCCGTGGGAGGGGGGGCGGCCGCCTTCCCCCGAGGGCGGGAGGGTTCGTGTGGGGAGGGGTGCGCCCCGCTCCCCCTGTCACCGGAGGGACGCCTCGGCGGTGGCCGGGGAGGGGGGGAGAGAAGCAGCATCCTCCCCTTGTAGTGGAGGAGGAGGAGGTGAGGAAGAGGAGTCTGGCGGCAGTCTCCCCCCTCAGCCTTCTCCTGAGGAAGGAGCTGCTTCCCTGCAGCCTGTGTCTGGGTCGGAGAGGAAACGCGAGTAGTTTCTCGGCAGTTGGGGGGATGCAGGGATCGAAGGGTCTTGCTCGCCTTCTTCTGGCCGAGCTTGGGAAGGGGAAAAAAGCGAGGTCTTTGCTCGTTGCTCCAATGAGTTAAGGTGGGGAGCTTGTCCCATCCTTGCAAATAAAAGGACAGGAATTCTGTCACCAGGGGTGCGCCTTCTGTGCTATTTCTCTTTACCTGCCTTGGAAAGGTGTGGGGAGCAAATGTCACCTCTTTCCTCTGGGTCCCCGCAGAGCTTAAGGCAAGGGCTAGCAGAAAGTGCCAAGAGGAGCTTGAAGATGATGGCTGTGTACTGATCCTCCTGGGGGAAAAGAGGAGCGAATAACTCTTCCCGAGAGGGGCAGAGGATGCCTGCTGGATACGTGGCCTGATGATATTGCAGCACATGACTGCATTCCTTTCTCGTCCCACTGGTGTAGTAGTACATTTAACAGACAAACCCTTCTGCTTTGTGTGCGAGACAGGAAGGCGAGAGCACCCAAATGAGATGTTTGGAAGCTCAGTTTAGCTGCGTTTACTTTTGGCTACGTTAATTGCTTTATCCCCTTATGGGTTTGGCTTTGTACCATTAAGAATGATTGGGACTTGAAAGCTTGAAATGTCAGTGTGTAACTATCAGTTCAGCTGCCACTCTACAAGGCTCTGCTTGTTCGAAACCACTTAAAACTCTTAATTGCCTAAATCTTTACTGCCTTGGACAAGGAGGGAAACCTACTGTGGCAATTTCTGCTCTGAGGGAGAGAAAGCTCTCAAAAAGAGGTAGTTAAAGTGAGGTTGAGCTCTTCCTTCCTAGAAGAAATGTGTTGGGGTATTTTTTGAAATTCAAGCATTTAGTGCTAGGCTACGTATAACCATGATCATATCCTTGTAATATCCCATGCTTGGTAGGGAAAGGGGTCAGCTGTTACCTGCCATAACACATACATTTGTAGCAGATCGTCAAACCTGCACAGAAACCTCTTTTAATGTACACAGTGATCGTTATGTGACTGGAGTTCCTGATGCTTTATGCTTGCATTTCTGTTGGATGCAGAGAATCTATTTTGCATGAATGATAAAAATCAACCCCATAGTCTGCTGTTCCGTAGCTTCACATGGTACGGCGTTACAGCAAAATGAAGACCGTTGTAAAATCACGTGTTTTCCAGAGGTTACGAGGAGAAAGTTGGTAATTAGTCTTAGGAGGCTGCAAAGTTGGAGGTAGCAGTTAATTCTGGTTAAATCTGTAAGGGATGAAAAAACAGTGACAAGCTGACTTTTTATTTTTGGTCTTCCAAAATTGGCCTTGTACTGTGGGCTTTGGGTAGCTGTGAGCCAGGCAGTTCCTACAGTGCTGTACATCACTGCTGATTTCTGTGTATGTTCAGTGTTCTCGGTATTTAGATATCCTGTATTGCCCATGTTGGACAGAATATTGACTCCATTTTTCTTTATGCCTGTTTAAAGTATGGCAGCTGTCAGTAAATTGAGATCTGCTTTTGTTTTGATGGTGTGTTGAGCTCGGCAGGAAACCCTTGTGCAGCTTATAGGAGAATTCGCAATAAAAGCGCTCTGCACTTGTGTAAATCAGAGTTACTGGGTTTTAGGCTGAAGGTTTCATCTTCCAGTCTAATTAAGGTGGAGTTACAGGCTGCAGTGGGTCTGTGAGTGAGGATATACTTGGATCATATGCCCATTTTTTTGAAGGATTGGGCCCTGAAATGATAACTCTTGTTACATTGAGGCAGGAAAAACATATCCTAAAGGACAACTGGCTATCTTGGTAAAATAATTTCAGATGAAGCAGAATGAAGACAAACCAAATGTTTGGGTTTTTTACTGTTGTCATAGAGTTATCTGCCAGCTGACTGCAGAGAGTTTCGCTGGTTACAGCCTCTCTTCCTTCGTCCTGACAAGCTTTTTGTACTACTAATCAACTTCCAGCTTGTAAATGAATGAATGTGCTGTTTTTCTGCTTGTTCCTGAAGCCATTAGGTAGAGCTGATTTCTTAATACCAAAACTCCAGATGATAGGAGGCTATATCATAAAAAATGATATTCATAGCAGTCAGAAAAGATTCTCT